ATGGGCACCAGTGACCCACGCAACCCTGAAAAGGAAGAAGCGTGTACAGAAAATGGATGAATGGATGGATGAATACTACAGTGTGACTTTTGATCACAGGAATCTAAAATAAAAGCTTCATCTCACCTGTCCCAGTGATTGTCTCATACCTACCATTAGTACAAGACTAAACCCTGCATGTCATTTTCAGCTGTTATATTTAAATGAACATTTGACATGGGCAGCTGTGACAGAGTGGTTAGGGGAGTCGTCCTGGAACCGGAAGGTCGCCGGTACGATCCCCTGTCCAGCTGTCTCGGTTGTTGTGTCCTTGGGCAAGACACTTCACCTCTGATGTGTGTCTCATCAGTGTATGAATGTGATTRGCACTGATTAGTCTCCATAGTGATTGTTCATGTTAGCTTTGTAGAGACCTAATAGAGTGCTGTGTGAATGTGTAAATGAGGACAAAGAGCTTTGAGTGTCCTGATTGGGTAGAAAGGTGCTATAAGTACAGTCTATTTACATTGTAACTTTAGAAATCAGGTCAAAGTTTCCTAAAGACACAGCTGCAGTTGTATGAGTTCAGTTCATTTCTATTGTGTTAGAGCAAATTATGGAATGTTATTGGGGGGTGACTGGATCAAATTATTCTACAATTGCTTCAAACATATCTGCTTGTTGTTGTTTTAATGATTTGAAGTAAAATAAACTTTTTCACCGTGTTTTTAACAATTTACAGTCCAAAAGACATCCATTCTGATTCATCGGTGGAGACTTTAGTCATCAGCAAAATGTTTCTCTGTGTAAATCCTTTGTTGTTATCATAACTAACACAACATTAAGTACATGCATTAAAAAGTCCGTCTCCTCACCAGCACACTGCAGAACCATCGCTATATCTTTCTCCACGTCCTCCAAAACCCTGAGCCTCTCGTTCGCCATCAGAACCGGAAGCTGCGGATCACACTGTGCCAGAACCGGAGCCGACTGGTGTAAAAATAAATACAATAATCTCTTTGTAGAAACTACACCTGGATAAAACTCACATAAAACAAGATCTGCGGCTGCTCTTTCTTTCTGAACACACAACGATGGCGGCAAGCAGTGCGTCATCAACAACCGACCAGAGCAGCAGCAGAGAAATGACGTCAGTTCGGCGGAGAGGGAAAAATGGCTGCACCGTCTGGGCTGCATGGTACAGGTGCTATGCGACTAACGGAAGGTTTGGTGTCGGTTTTAAAAGAACAGCGTCCGCAGTTTTTGGCCGAAGCCTTGTCCAACTACAGAGAACACGGCGTGTTTTCCACACAGGTATATCTGCGCGTGTTACAGGAGGTTTCTGTGTTAGCTAACAGTTAGCTCGTTCCACAGCTTCAGACTCCTTTGTTGATCAGCGGCCCTACATCAGCCCTGTGTGGTTCTAAACGCCTTATCCCGTTCTGTCTGTGTATCTCTGCAGAACACCAGCGATGCTGCGGGTCTCGTGGGGTTTAGTAATGCTAAACTGAGCTCCAGCAAGACCAGGTGAGAAAGCTTCATGTTGGATATGTTGGTGTTTGGTAGTGATGGCCTCATGACAAGCTTTATGAAGCATTAAACAGCATTCCTGCTGTGTGGAAAAACAATGTCTCCAACTTTCAGATGAGCTGATGATCCTGTAGGTGTAACTGCAGGTCCTCTAGTGTGAGACAAGAAATTATGAAAACTGTCTCAGTTCTTTCAGTCACACAATGTTTAAACTTTTTTCTAGTTGGTTCTTTAAAGTCTTTCAGCAACACAACTACAGAGTTTTATTTTTCCAATAAATAATAAAAACACTGAGGCTATAACTCTCCCCAGCTTCTGTATTTCGTCCTCCAGCTTCTTGTGCCCCCTCTTTCTGAAGTTACAGTCACACAGGTCCATCTATCACCTGCCCTCCTTCTGTCTTTGGTTTGTCAACCACAATGTCTGGTTGGTTAGACTTCTTATATTTATCAATCTGGATCTGGAAGTTCCACATCATCTCAGCTCTGTCTGCATCTGCTCTGTCTGCATCTTCCATCTTGTTATGTGTGCTGGAATGGATAGATGAATTCCTCCATACAAAACATTTGTTTAAATCTCCATGTTTTGTATAGTGGTATTAATTTATATTTTCAGATCTTCCAAGGTGCCAGTTATGGAACTCTCTGTGCATTGTTGCCCAAATCAAATTCTGGAAGTGGTCATTCARCTAGATCTGTTACAAAAGGACAACTGATATTACCAACTTTTAAAAACTGTTACGGCCAGAGGTCTTTCGAGGTTTTCCAGCTCCAACACACCTGATTCAGTGATTGAATTAACTCTTCAAATTGGGCAGAAGCCTGTTAATCACCCAGCGATCAAAATCTGGTGTGTTGGAGCAAGAAAACCTCTAAAACATGCAGGATAGTGGCCCTCGAGGACAGGAGTTTGACACCCCTGTACTAAAGCATGGAATGACATTCCTCAAAACATAAAGTCCATTTCAAAACTACAGCCCTTTAAGAAGAATCTTGTCTGCCATCTGCTGGACACTTTTTGTTGTGCTCATATTTAGACGTCCGATTTTGCAAATGCTGCCTTCCTGAAATTTGGTATGCTTGTTTGTCTTTGTGTCTATGGTGTATAATGATGTGATTGTGATGCTGTAATTCTGAGTGTTTTATGTGCTGCAGAACAGGAACCTGCTGTAAAACAGCAATTATGCTGAGTCAGGCTTGATTTTTAGTGAACTTTTCCTGTTAAATCAATAAATCAAATCATTTATGAGTGTTTGGCAGTTTGACTATCTTTAAGTGTCTGCTTCCAGCTGCAACAGACAGCTTCTGGAAACGAGTAGTCCATCTGTCCGTTTTCTTCCTCTTATCCGGGGTCAGGTCTCGGGCGCAGCAGCCTAAGCAGAAAGACCCAGACTTCCCTCTCTCCAGCCACTTGGGTCAGCTCCTCCGGGGGAATCCCTAAGTGTTCCCAGGCCAGCAGAGAAACGTAGTCTCTCCAGCGTGTCCTGGGTCTTCTGTAGCCGAGGGTCAGACCGCCAAGGTCCTCGCCTTCGACCACTGTCCAGCACACTTTGCACCCGACCCCTACGGCCCCTCCCACAGGTGGTGAGCCCATGGGTAGGGGGATCCACGTCACCTCTTCGGGCTGTGCCCGACCGGGCTCTATGGGTGAAAGCCTGACCACCAGGYGCTCACCAATGTGCCCCACCTCCAGGCCTGGCTCCAGAGTGGGGCCCCAGTGACCCATGTCTGGGCGAGGGAACACTGAATCCACTTATAGTCCTCATCATGAGGGGTCTTTGGGCTGCACTTTGTCTGATCCCTCACCTAGGACCTGTTTGCCTTGGGTGACCCTACCAGGGGCATGAAGCCCCCGACAACATAGCTCCTAGGATCATTGGGACACACAAACCTCTCCACCATGATAAGGTGGCAGCCCAGGGACAGGAAGCGAGTAGTGTGTTTTTTTCCTTAGATGTGAGTAATTAAAGCAAAATGCAGCGAGCACTTCCAGCACAAACAAACACAGCCACAAACCTCTGACCAGTCACACAGTAAGTTTTAATGTGGAGTGGGGTAAAAAGTTCTCATCATGTGTTGTGATAAGAAGGAGCAGCCGATTCAAAGCTGCAAACAGAGTGATGTGATTTTCTTCATGAAACTGTGACACTCTGAGCTGAGACCCTCACTCCTTTCAGTGACAGTTTCAGGGTTCACTTGGGGTGAAGCCCTCCATGCTTTTTAGGAGCTTTCATGTCTTGATATCWGTGTCTTCTATATTTTCCTTTGGTCAGGTTATTATACCAGCTGGACATGTGAAGACTGACACTACATGTTGCTAGCTCAGACTTTGTTCTTGCCATTCAGCTGCTCCTCAGGACCTCCATTATTCTCTGTAGGTACTTGGTTATGGCTGACATCTTGTGGCCTCATCAGTTTTTATATCCCTTGTGGATTTTAAGCAGAGGTTTATAGTAACTAAGTACATTTACAGTACTTAATTAAATCTTTTGAGGATTTGTAATTTTACCAAGTATTTTCGTAAATCATGACTTTTACTTAGTTACTTCTAAAACCTAAATTGATACTTTAACTTCTTTACTTTAAAGTTTAACACCTAGTTACTTGTTATAAATTAAATCTGTCTGAACTCATCATGAAAGGACTTGTTTATCTGCTCTAAAAAATTAAGTGTTGAATTTACTCAACTAAACCATATCAACTATTTCTACTAAGCCAGTAGAGTAAATTTGAAGCGATAAACATATTTTATTTTAAAGAAATTGACCAAATTAATCAACTTGGTTTGTGGAGCCAGTTTGGTTCTGTAAATTTAACAGTTTGTTTGTTAGAGAGCGTGGAAAAGTACTTTTACTTTTACTTTACCAGTTTTTATGAATAGTTTAATGACTTTTAATAGTTTTATCATCAGTGACATTTGTTTCTACCAAAGTCATTTTCTGTTAAGGTATTTTTACTTTTACTTAGTTATTATTTTCAAGTACTTTATAGACCTCTTGATTTTAAGGTACTTGTAGCTGTCCTGCAGTGTTTAATGGACTGTACTTATATCCAGCCAGGGTACTCAAAGCTCTTTACCCTCATCTGCACACATTCATTCTGCACTCTACTAGATCTCTACAAAACTAATACAGTTAAATCAATCTAGAGACTAATCGGTGCTTTACATCACATTCATACACTGATGGGACACATCAGAGGCACTGGGGGTTCAGTGTCTTTGTTAGGGACACTCCAGCATGTGACTGAGTAGTGGTGGAATCGAACCACCAACTCTTGTGTTAGAACGACTCCCCTAACCACTCAGCCACAGCTGCTCCAGGTTGCCTCCAGGTAGATCAGCCCCTTCAGTTCTGATCACTTCCTTCTTGGATACGATTTGACTGCATTAATCCAGTCTTTCTGTCATCATGATGATCAAAAACATGTGTGTCTTCTTCCAGGTGAGAGTGATGATCATGAGACACCTATATATATATATA